GATACGACTACAGTATTGCACTGATTGAGGCGGGTGACTTCAAGAATGGATACAACGAAATGGAGGTTGTTTTAAAAATGTGCGACGAGATAAATGTCCACCTTGATAGATGGTTTGTCAGATATTTTGATTGGATGTGTAGAATTAATCCAGGTGATGTGTTTAAACTTCTACACAAAGCCCAATTACTAATGATACTAAAGAAATACAAAGCCGCATCGGCGATATATAGGAGAGCTCTGCAAATTGATTCTGCTAACGAGGAGGCTGATTGTGGTTTGAAAAGAGCTATGCAATTCCTAGTTGAGATATGATACGTATATGTCATTTGAGGAAATGATGAATTATATTTTTATTTTCTAGTTGACGACTACTAGTATATATCTTCACAATTAAGAATTGAAATGGAATTATCCCTTGAAACATGGACAACTTTGTGTTCAACATATACCCGTCAGTTTTTTCTGTTATTTATTTTCATCTTTGCATTCGACTATGCACCATCCGTGTAAAAAACAGCAATTTAAATGTTATGATAGATTGTTAATTACTACACATGTAGCTTTTCTGTTCTCAACAATTAATTGCATACAAGAGAAATTGTCATAATTCGTAATTTTACAACCAGGTAAAGTATTATCTGATATATCTTTCTCCCCCCTTTTTACAGAAGTAAATAAATAAATAAATAAAATTTTAGTATTATGAGTAAAGTATCTACATTTCATATTTGTAAATGGAATGTTCAGGAATGATCAGAGAACACAAAACAACAGTTTATAAAACCAAACTACTGCGCATATCACGATAGAAGTTAAGTGAACAAGTTCACTTAGAAACATGTTAAATGCTTAATATATGTATTTTCAAACCATTGCGCTATATTGACATTAACCTTTCAACCGACACAACGATTAGTGTAAACATTTCACCTTTGGTCAGTGTTGGCGCTATTCGGGGGCAAATTAAATTAAAAAACAAATCACCTAGTCTACACAGCGACTGAATAAAGTCGTGTTTACAAATATTCCATTGTTCGCACCCATGTATTATTTACAGGGTATTCGTATATGAAGAGCTGTTCAATTTCACCTAAACCTCATGAAATAATACAGCATAATGAAATACAACATGCAAAATACTAATTTGCAAACACTTGTACATGTGCTTTATCAGGGAATGAAATTTCCCTTCAGTAGCGTTGATGAATTATGGCGCTTTCACCAAACCAAATTGACCTATTGTAAAAATTAAAAAAAAAACTTATCTAAAAACGATCAAGATACTACCGGTACACGAAACCTTCAGCAGTTTTGGTATAAACGTATTGATTTCGAAGATAAAGGCGACGAAGTTGCTGCCGCCGACAAAAATATCATTGGGAATGTATTACACTTATCTGCAACAAAGAACAAAAAAGCTTCACAGAATTCCAAATCTCAGAGACAATCACACGTATAGATATATAGAAGTCGACAAAAAATATATCTTCAACACAAAATGTTCGTCGCTGAGCACCTTTTCCAATTTCATGAAATGAAAAATGTTCTTCACACGCGATATATGTCACGTGGTGTTTATATCATGCAGTGCGTTGACTGTGACACTTAAATGGATTGGAACATTTTTAACTTTACAGAGCACACACTAGTCTTACATATACGTATCAAGTGCCGTGATACATGCCAGTAGCATTTGTTGGTATAGTTAACCTCTCCGAGACAGAATGATGTTTTTCACCGAAATCATTATAGCCAAAATATTGTTTATTTATTCATTTGATCATTGAGTCAGCAATATATAATTCGGGACTGTATTAGATATGGTTGTAGTCGCGTACAA